TGACAGGGGCCCCATACAGCCCCATAAAGCCAACCTGACAGGGACCCCATACAGCCAATCTACAGGGGCCAACCTGACAGGGGCCCCACACAGCCAACCTGACAGGGGCCCATACAGCCAATCTGACAGGGGCCCATACAACCAACCAAACAGCCCCATACAGCCAACCTGACAGGGGCCCCATACAGCCCTTGCCGGGGGCCCCATACAGCCAACCTGACAGGGGGCCCCATACAGACATACAGGGGCCCCATACAGCCCCATACGGCCAACCTGACAGGGGCCTCATACAGTCCCATACAGCCAACCTGACAGGGGCCCCATACAGCCAACCTGACAGGGGCCCCAAACAGCCAACCTGACAGGAACCCCATACAGCCCCATACAGCCAACCTGACAGGGCCCCCATACAGCCAACCTGATGGGGGCCCCATACAGTCCCATACAGCCAGACAGGGGCCCCATACAGCCAACCTGACAGGGGCCCCATACAGCCAACCTGACAGGGGCCCCATACAGCCAACCTTCCAGGGGTCCCCATACAGCCAACCTACAGGGTCCCCATACAGCCAACCTGACAGGGGCCCCATACAGCCAACCTGATGGGGGCCCCATACAGTCCCCATACAACCAACCTGACAGGAGCCCCATACAGCCAACCTGACAGGGCCCCATACAGCCAACCTGACAGTGGCCCCATACAGCTAACCTGACAGGGGCCCCCATACAGCCAACCTGACAGGGGCCCCATACAGCCAACCTGACAGGGGCCCCATACAGCCAACCTGACAGGGGCACAATACAGGCCCCATACAGCCAACCTGACAGGAACCCCATACAGCCCCATACAGCCAACCTGACAGGGGCCCCCATACAGCCAACCTGATGGGGGCCCCATACAGTCCCATACAGCCAACCTGACAGGGGCCCCATACAGCCAACTGACAGGGGCCCCATACAGCCAACCTGACAGGGGCCCCATACAGCCAACCTGACGGGGTCCCCATACAGCCAACCTTCAGGGCCCCATACAGCCAACCTGACAGGGGCCCCATACAGCCAACCTGATGGGGGCCCCATACAGTCCCATACAACCAACCTGACAGGAGCCCCATACAGCCAACCTGACGGGCCCCATACAGCCAACCTGACAGTGGCCCCCATACAGCTAACCTGACAGGGGCCCCAACAGCTAACCTGGGGGCCCCATACAGCCAACCTGACAGGGGCCCCATACAGCCAACCTGACAGGAACCCCATACAGCCCCATACAGCCAACCTGACAGGGCCCCCATACAGCCAACCTGATGGGGGCCCCATACAGTCCCATACAGCCAACCTGACAGGGGCCCCATACAGCCAATCTGACAGGGGCCCCATACAGCCAACCTGACAGGGGCCCCATACAGCCAACCTGACAGGGGGCCCCATACAGCCAACCTTCCGGGGGCCCCATACAGCCAACCTGACGGGGGCCCCATACAGCCAACCTGATGGGGGCCCCATACAGTCCCATACAACCAACCTGACAGGAGCCCCATACAGCCAACCTGATGGGCCCCATACAGCCAACCTGACAGTGGCCCCATACAGGTAACCTGACAGGGGCCCCATACAGCTAACCTGACGGGGGCCCCATACAGCTAACCTGACAGGGGCCCCATACAGCCAACCTGACAGGGGCCCCACACGGCACACTTGACAGGGGCCCCAAACAGCTAACCTGACAGGGGCCCCATACAGCCAACCTGACAAGGGCCCCATACAGCCCCATACAGCCAGCCTGACAAGGGCCCCATACAGCCCCATACAGCCAGCCTGACAAGGGCCCCATACGAATGTGAATGTCGGTGTCTCAACACGTGTGATTTGCTGCGGCGCGATTTCTAAAGTAGTCCTGGCGTGACTTTTTCTGCCGTTTTGTTGCGATTTCATAGAATAGAATACAATGAAAACCGCGCCGCAAATCGCAAGAAATCGATGAAAATCTTCACAAGTCACAATAAAGTCTTCAAAAATCACACACAAATCACACGATTTTAAATCGCAGTGGCGTGACCGGTGACTGAGGCCGAGGTCCAGACGGATAGAAAAGACACCAATTATTGAAGAGTTGCAGTTTCTGTACAGCAGAGCTCAGACTGGCAGAGGGAGAAGCCAAGGAAGGAGCCAATCAGCTGCACTGCGGTGCTGATCTGTGAACAAGGGACATGCTGATAGGAGAGAGAGAGCAGAGAGATCAACTCATCAGTTTGCTGCTTCTCCTCCCACTGTCCAATCACAGCCTGGAGGGGAGGAGGGTCAGGACCTGTTAGTGTTACTAAACTGCAGCAGAGAAAAATCAGACCTGGTTGTGCTGTGCTGCAGAGCTGTGTAAATCTCAGGACTGGATGGACAGATACTTGTATAGCGTCTCTTTGTTTGGAGTGCAACTTGAAGTCCTGGTTCACTCCGGTGCGGCTTATCGCATGTAATTGGCACCGGAACCGCACCGCATTCCATTCCGCATCGCATTAGTGCGAACCGCGGCTAAAGAAATCAGAAACAGGCGAGCGAGTCGGAATCATTTACAGTAAATGTCACAAATCGCAGAACGCACGCTATAGCGAGCAGACGGGCGTACATGCGTACTCTCCACCCGACTGTAAATAATGACAGCGGCGCCCCCTTCCCCCCCCTCCTCGGCCGCGTTAAAAACCCCCCCGCCAATAAGACGATGGCGGCGCCACACCTGCCGTCATTTCACGCGGAGGGCGGCGGCAGATTTATAACCTTCGCTGCGATTTGTGGCGGCAGAACCCTCTGTTCTTGAAACTAAATTAGGCGATGGCCCACTTCTCCTGGACGACTTTTATTTTTTTCGTTCGGAGACGATCGACTCGCTACCACAGGTGTGCGTACGGCGCGACCTAATTATGGTGAAATACGGCCGCCTGTTCGATGGCTGACGGGTGGGCGGAGCCTGCGAGGCCTCCAGGTGCCGCATATAGATCTGGGTTTCTGTTCTATGTAAGAGAGGATGCTGGATGCTGGACGCGGCTTCCGACCGCACGCCTTCCCGATACATACACAAAATCGCACGCCATCCCGATACGCGCAAAATCGCACGCCATCCCGATACATACGCAAAATCGCACGCCCATCCCATAATCGATACATACGCAAAATCGCACGCCATCCCGATACATACGCAAAATCGCACGCCTTCCCAAAACATATGCAAAATCGCACGCCATCCCAATACATACGCAAAATCGCACGCCTTCCCGATGCGTCCGCAAAATCGCACGCCTTCCCGATACGTCCGCAAAATACGCAAAATCGCACGCCTTCCCGATACGTCCGCAAAATCGCAGCCTTCCCAATACGTCCGCAAAATCGCACGCCATCCCGATACGTACGCAAAATCGCACGCCTTCCCAATACATACGCGAAATCGCACGCCTTCCCGATACATACGCGAAATCGCACGCCTTCCCGGTACGTCCGCAAAATAGCATGCCATCCCAATATATCATACGCAAAGTCGCACACCATCCGCAATACATACGCAAAATCGCACACCGTCCTGATACATACGCAAAATCGCACGCCGCCTTTCCGATACATACGCAAAATAGCACGCCATCCCGATACGTACGCAAAATCGCACGCCATCCCGATACGTACGCAAAAATCGCACGCCTTCCCGATACATCCGCAAAAATCGCACGCCTTCCCGATACATCCGCAAAATCGCACGCCTTCCCAATACATCCCGCAAAAATCGCACGCCATCCCATACATCCGCAAAATCGCACGCCTTCCCGTTACATCCGCAAAATCGCACGCCCTTCCCGATACATCCGCAAAATCGCACGTCGATCCCGGTACATCCGCAAAATCGCAGTCTCAGTCTCCCCTCCCCAGTGATCAGACTGTACATTGTAACTTTGTAGAAGGAGGGAGGAGTCATTCCCTCAGTCTCCTCCCCCAGTGATCAGACTGTACATTGTAACTTTGTAGAAGGAGGAGGAGGAAGCATTTCCTCAGTCTCCCCTCCCCCAGTGATCAGACTGTACATTGTAACTTTGTAGAAGGAGGGAGGAGTCATTCCCTCAGTCTCCCCTCCCCCAGTGATCAGACTGTACATTGTAACTTTGTAGAAGGAGGAGGAGGAAGCATTTCCTCAGTCTCCCCTCCCCCAGTGATCAGACTGTACATTGTAACTTTGTAGAAGGAGGGAGGAGTCATTTCCTCAGTCTCCCCCTCACCCCAGTGATCAGACTGTACATTGTAACTTTGTAGAAGGAGGAGGAGGAAGTCATTTCCTCAGTCTCCCTCTCCCCAGTGATCAGACTGTACATTGTAACTTTGTAGAAGGAAGAGGAAGCATGGTGACCCTGGTTGACACCTGAACAAAGATGGCGCCGCCCTTCTGGAGAGAATATCAGATGACGGCGCTGTCAGGGCGAGTCCGGTGATCTCTGTCAGGGGACGAATATTTTCCGAAGCACAAATCTCTCCTGTAGTCTAACATTTATTTTTTTAGTTACGTATCAGCGTACTAATTGTGGATGTGATTGGTCGGTTGGTCTCACTATACGCGATATCTCATGTGTGTGTCCAATCCGGCGTATGATCTCGTCCTCCCAGCGTCGGCGGGGTTAATTGGCCTCGGTAATATTGGGTTTCGGGGGCTGCGCTGCCTCTCTAAGCCCCTCTCTGTATGGCGGCTGTAGAACAATGTGAGGATTTTCCGCCTGGCCGCAGCCTGATTCAGCCACCTGTCCGCATTCTTCGCGCAGCGCGGGAATCCTCCTCCTCCGCCCGAGCGCGTTACGTCACCACATGGCAGAGGGACACAGATGGGGATGTTCACACCGGAGAGACAAACCACTGCAAGCGAAGTCTGATAACAGGAACGTTCTGATTGGTCACAAATTTACGCTCAACTTTTATAGAATTGCGGCTTACTTTTTCCTTTTTTTTTTAAAATAACCTTCACATTATAGAGTTAAATCCTCCCCCCAGCTCCTCCCCCTCAGTCTTGCACAGGTGTAACGGCTCCTCCCCTTAAGTCTTGCACAGGTGTACCGGCTCCTCCCATTCAGTCTTGCACAGGCGTACCGGCTCGGCTCCCCTTTAGTCTTGCACAGGTGTATCGGCTCCTCCCCTTCAGTCTTGCACAGGTGTACCAGCTCCTCCCATTCAGTCTTGTACCGGCTCCTCCCCTTCAGTCTTGTACAGGTGTACTGCTCCTCCCCTTCAGTCTTGCACAGGTGTATCCGATCCTCCCCTTCAGTCTTGCCACAGGTGTACCAGCTCCTCCCCTTCAGTCTTGCACAGGTGTACCAGCTCCTCCCCTTCAGTCTTGCACAGGTGTATCCGATCCTCCCCTTTTCCACAGTCTTCCACAGGCACAGGTGTATCTATCGCTCCTCCCCTTCAGTCTTGCACAGCTGTGTACCGGCTCCTCCCCTTCAGTCTTGCACAGGTGTATCCGATCCCCCTTTAGTCTTCCACAGGTGTACCTGCTCCTCCCCTTCAGTCTTGCACAGCTGTACCGGCTCCTCCCCTTCAGTCTTGCACAGGTGTATCGGCTCCTCCCCTTCAGTAGTCTTGCTTGCACAGGACCTGTGTATCCTCCCCTTTAGTCTTCCACAGGTATCGGCTCCTCCCCCCTTCAGTCTTGCACATAGTGTACCTGCTCCTCCCCTTCATTCCTGTCACAAGTGTACCTGCTCCTCCCCTTCATTCCTGCATAGGTGTACCTGCTCCTCCCCTTCATTCCTGCACAGGCGTACCTGCTCCTCCCCTTCATTTTTTCACAGGTGTACTGGCTCCTCCCCTTCAGTCTTGCACAGGTGTACTGGCTCCTCCCCTTCAGTCTTGCAGTGTGAAAGCTGGAGGATGTCCCTGGTCCCACCCACTTCATTCAGCACAGGGATGGTGGGAACCCCCCATAATGAACACAGCGGGTGGTGTACAGACCCGGGAACTCAGCACAGGGATGGTGGGAACCCCTCATAATGGCACAGCGGGTCTACAGACCCAGGAACTCAGCACAGGGATGGTGGGAACCCCTCATAATGGGCACAGCGGGTGTACAGACCCGGGAACTCAGCACAGGGATGGTGGGAACCCCTCATAATGGGCACAGCAGGTGTACAGACCCGGGAACTCAGCACAGGGATGGTGGGAACCCCTCATAATGGGCACAGCGGGTGTACAGACCAGGGAACTCAGCACAGGGATGGTGGGAACCCCTCATAATGGGCATTCTTCGGTGACAACAGATCTGCCGTGGTTTGATCTCCCAGTGGGGGACGCTTAGCGCTCCATGTGAGTCGTTCCGTCTCGTTATGTTCTCACTTTGTCGGCGCCGCATCCTCATATTTCACACAACGTGAGGCCGCCTGCCGCTCCCACCGCCGCGCCAATTATCTGTTCCTCAGCGCAAGACGTCTCTTCATGGATGCATCCTGCTGAGACTAATCTGACAACCAACCTAATCGACTACCTGTCATAACTCTGCACGTGTTCAGTGTCATCCTGTGCGTTCGAGGGAATGGGCAGACTGGCGCTCTAGAGGTCGGTTGGATGGCTCTGAGGCCAAGGGTTTGTAGGATGGAGGTCGGTTTGGGTGGCTTTCAGGCCATGGGGTTGCCAGACTGGAAGTCGGTTGGGTGGCTCTCAGGCCATGGGGTTGGCAGACTGGAGGTCGGTTGGGTGGCTCTCAGGCCATGGTGTTGGTAGACTGGAGGTTGGATGGGTGGCTCTCAGGCCATGGGGTTGGTAGACTGGAAGTCGGTTGGGTGGCTCTCAGGCCATGGAGTTGGTAGACTTAGGTCGGTTGGGTGGCTCTCAGGCCATGGGGTTGGCAGACTGGAGGTCGGTTGGGTGGCTCTCAGGCCATGGGGTTGGTAGACTTTAGGTCGGTTGGGTGGCTCTCAGGCCATGGGGTTGGCAGACTGGAGGTCGGTTGGGTGGCTCTCAGGCCATGGGGTTGGCAGACTGGAGGTCGGTTGGGTGGCTCTCAGGCCATGGGGTTGGCAGACTGGAGGTTGGTTGGGTGGCTCTCAGGCCATGGGGTTGGCAGACTGGAGGTCAGTTGGGTGGCTCTCAGGCCATGGGATTGGCAGACTGGAGGTCGGTGTGTGGGTCTCTCAGGCCATGGGGTTGGTAGACTGGAGGTCGGTTGGGTAGCTCTCAGGCCATGGGGTTGGTAGACTGGAGGTCGGTTGGGTGGCTCTAAGGCCATGGTGTTGGTAGACTGGAGGTCGGTTGGGTGGCTCTCAGGCCATGGGGTTGGTAGACTGTTGGTAATGTTACTGGAGAGGAAATTTAGGGGAGAAGTCTGCAAGGAAAGGCTGTGGACCATACCACCACAGACATGGGCGGGGGGGGGGTATACTTAACAATACAATGTGTGTGATGGAGGAACAAAAGTACACCTCATGGCCAGACGTTGGTGGGCACCTGGCCATCACAACTATGTGGGCTTTGCGGATATCTTCCCAAAATGATGTCCATTAATACGGAGTAGCGTCTTCCCAACAATTTTCCCCTTGTGGCTATAGCAACCTCTATTCTTGCACACGATTTGGAGGGCGTCTGGAGGAATTTGTGTCCACTTCTGAGGTCAGGTACTGATGTTGGATGAGAAGACCGGATTGCAGTTGGAGTTCCAATTCAATCAACAAAGGTGTTCAGTAGGGTTGAGGTCAGGGCTCTCTGCAGGACACTCAAGTTCCTCCTTACCAGACTGGTCAAACCATGTCTTTATGGTGATGATGGGTGAGAAGACCCAGCTCACCATTGGAGTTCCAATCCATCCCAAAGGTGTTCAGTAGGGTTGAGGTCAGGGCTCTGTGCAGGACACTTCCCACTTCCCCTGGCTCGACCTTTCTGGGAAAGCTTCACAAAATTTTGGGGTACACCTGTGGGAATTTCTGTTCGTTCATCCAAAAGAATATTTGTGAGGTCAGGTATTGAAGTTGGATGAGAAGACCTGGCTCACTATTGGAGTTCCAATTCATCCCAAAGGTGTTCAGTAGGGTTGAGGTCAGGGCTCTCTGCAGGACACAAGTTCCTCCACACCAAACTGGTTAGAACATGTCTTTATGGTGATGTTACCTGAGAAGACCTGGCTCAGGATCGGAGTAGTAAATTTATCCCAAAGGGGTTCAGTAGGGTTGAGGTCAGGGCTCTTTACAGGACACTCAAGTTCCTCCTTACCAGACTGGTCAAACCATGTCTTTATGGTGATGATGGGTGAGAAGACCTGGCTCATCATCGGAGTTCCAATCCATCCTAAAGGGGTTCAGTAGGGTTGAGGTCAGGGCTCTTTGCAGGACACTCAAGTTCCTCCTCCACACCAAACTGGTTTAGAACATGTAATTATGGTGATGTTTTCCTGAGAAGATCTTGGTCACCATTGGAGTAAATTTATCCCAAAGGGGTTCAGTAGGGTTGCGGTCAGGGCACTGTGCAGGGACACTCAAGTTCCTCCTTACCAGACTGGTCAAACCATGTCTTTATGGTGATGTTGGTGAGAAGACCTGGCTCTCCATTGGAGTTCCAATTAATTCCAAAGGTGTTCAGTAGGGTTGAGGTCAGGGCTCTCTGCAGGACACTCACGTTCCTCCTTACCAGACTGGTCAGACCATGTCTTTATGGTGATGTTGGCTGAGAAGACCTTGGTCACCATCGGAGTAAATTTATCCCAAAGGGGTTCGGTAGGGTTGCCGTCAGGGCTCTGGTCAGGACACAGAGCTCCTCCACACCAAACCCATCAAACTATGTCTTTTTGAAGCTGACTCTACTTTTCTGGGAAAGCTTCCCACAAAATTTTGGGGTACGCCCTGTGGGAATTTCTGTTCGTTCAGCCAAAAGAATATTTGTGAGGTCATGTACTGAAGTTGGATGAGAAGCCCTGGCTCACCATTGGAGTTCCAATCCATTCCAAAGGTGTTCAGTAGGGTTGAGGTCAGGGCTCTCTGCAGGACATCAAGTTCCTCCTTACCAGACTGGTCAAACCATGTCTTTATGGTGATGTTTTATGGATGAGAAGACCTGGCTCACCATTGGAGTTCCAATCCATCCCAAAGGGGCTCAGTAGGGTTGAGGTCAGGGCTCTCTGCAGGACACTTCCCACAAAATCTTGGGGTACACTTGTGGGAATTTTAGGGGTGAGCGTTCGTTCTATTTCTGGGATAGAAGGGGTTGTGGGGATTTCAGAGAAAAGAATAATTTGTAGAGATGTCCTGTTATCCAGCCAAAAGAACATTTGTGAGGTCAGGTACTGAAGTTGGATGAGAAGACCTGGCTCACCATTCATTCCAAAGGTGTTCAGTAGGGTTGAGGTCAGGGCTCTGTGGAGGACACTCGGGTTCCTCCACAACAATCTGGCCATCCATGTCTCTCAAGCTTTTTATCCCAGAGGAAACCTTAATTTTCCGGGGGGGGTGTCAAAGGAAGAGTGCCACTTTCAGTGGTGGTCCGAATAGTATCCTCACTGACATCTAGAATGCTGATTGTTGTCACGTTGCTGACTCTGGTGGTATTGAACCCAGAATTATGTAGGCACCATCAGATGAGGAGTCAATCATCCACAGCTCCAGGAACTCTTATCAACCTCCGGAAGTACCCCAAGCTTCCACAGTCCCTGATTGAGAGTGGCTGGTGAAGAATGGAGAAGTCATATTAGGTGTCATGCACTCTGGATAAGAACCATGTTTGGTGTCATGTTTTCTGGGGAGATGCCATGTTTGGTGTTATGCACTGTAGACGGGAGCTGTTTTTTGGTGTCACGCACTGTAGATGTGAGCCATGTATGGTGTCATGTGCTGTGGATAGGAGCCCATATGTGTTGTCATGTACTCTGAATAGGAGCCACATTTGATGCTATGCACTTTTGATAGGAGCCATTCTTGGTGTCATGCACTCTGGATGGGAGTTATGATTGGCGTCATGGACTCTGGATGGGAGGAATGTTTGATGTCATGCACTCTGGATGGGAGGTATGCTTGGTGTCATGCACTCTAGGTAGGAGCCACGTTTGGTGTCATGCACTCTGGGTAGGAGCCATGTTTGGTGTCATACACTCTGGGTAGTAGTCAAGTTTGTTGTCATGCACTTTGGATGGGAGCCATGTTTGGTGTCATGCACTTTGGTTGGGAGCCATGTCTGGTGTGATGCACTCTGGGTAGGAGCCATGTTTGGTGTAATGCACTTTGGATGGGAGCCATGTTTGGTGTCATGCACTCTGGGTAGGAGCCATGTTTGGTGTCATGCACTCTGGGTAGTAGTCATGTTTGTTGTCATGCGCTTTGGATGAGAGCCATGTTTGGTGTCATGCACTTTGGATGGGAGCCATGTTTGGTGTCATGCACTTTTGATGGGAGCCATGTTTGGTGTCATGCACTTTGGTTGAGAGCCATGTTTGGTGTCATGCACTTTGGATGAGAGCCATGTTTGGTGTCATGCACTTTGGATGGGAGCCATGTTTGGTGTCATGCACTTTGGATGGGAGCCATGTTTGGTGTCATTCAGTTTGGAAGTGAGCCATGTTTGGTGTCATGCACTTTGGATGGGAGCCATGTTTGGTGTGATGCACTCTGGGTAGGAGCCATGTTTGGTGTCATGCACTCTGGGTAGTAGTCATGTTTGGTGTCATGCACTTTGGATGGGAGCCATGTTTGGTGTCATGGGACTGTACAGTAGATATGTTTGTTGTCACTAACAGAACTGATCCATTCTTCTGTGGGAATTGTCTCCCCTGACTTTGTATCTTCTCTCGGCAGGTCCGGCTCATCTCTTCCCCGCCTTCCACGCTCCTTTCCCCATAGACATCCGACACCAGGAGGGCCGATATCACTACGAGGGCC